CCAAAAAATGTTTAGACATCCTAAAAAATATTCGCAATAGCTCCCATGTCTCATCCATACTTAACATGATAGGGTTAATTCATCCCCGCCTCTTTACTAATATTTACTAAGCTGCTCAGTACAAAAAGCCTGATTTTTCCATGTATCGGCTCTCTGCACTGGACGGGGCCCTCGATTTGTTTGGTGAGTCTTCAATATTCCCGGATCATTCCCCACCCAACAGAACATCAACAACTACAATCATGGTTTATCAAAGAATATCCTGCACAAAAGAAAGAGCGGGTCAGTAAACATCCAAATGATGTGAAACTAAACTTGTGTATATTGATATATGTATATATATATATATATATATATTTTTTTATTTATTTATTTATTTATCTATTTTGTTTTAATGTTTGGCTATTTACACTCCAATATCCGAACATGCCTTGCTGGAGCTGGACAACCTCCCCCTTTTAGTCTAACGTGTTTCTCATTAAAACCCCCATCTCTGGATGAATTTGCCATATGTTCCTATTAAAAACACATATTTTCCCATATGATGCCCATGTTTTCCCCATAATTTGCCACCTGATGGCACCCCCTCCGGCCCCATCGACTCCTCGAAGGTCTGCATGGCTGCCACGGCAAAAGGTTTGAAGAACTCACGGGGAATGTTCATACCCACGTGCATCAGTCCCACAGAGGTGATGTCCTGGGCCCAAATCACGATGCAAGATCTAGGAATCTAGGACACAGCCAGCGTGTTTCGGGCTCGCACTTTCAGAATCAGTTTACATCAGATGAAATGACCAACTTAGAGTAGCAGCCGGTGAAACTTCTCCATTCTTGGACATAACCAGTTTGATGCTGCGTCCCTCACAAGTCTCTCAGAAAAGTGGAGGAATACCCTCCATCCAACCCATGCCAAATGGGAGTTGGAGGCTGCCTTTCTCTGCAAATGGGCTATAATCTGTGCCTATTTCACTAGAACGGCCATGAAAAGTGATAGTTTCTTGGGCGCGAGCTGGAATCATCTGTTCAAGGGCCCGCCTGTGAAATCTGTAGTTATTGTTTTGTTGTTGTTCCAAAAAAAAAGCAAGCAAGCAGCCTCTACACGTTTCAGACCTTGCCAACTTGGCTGGTATTCTCAATGACATTCTTTGAACCCTGTAAAACAACGGCGATTACCAAGACATGCTCGGCAGCCGGATAATGTCCTGAACCATCTTGCGCGGGTTTTCATACATCTCGAAGGTCATTTCAAAGATGCGGTCAGCTACAAAATAGAGTCTTGTCATAGAAGTCTTGAGATATTCCTGGCAAACTGTAGGAAATTTGCCAATGGCTGGGTAAAAAACTTTTTTTATGGATTTTTCGGATATTAAGCGATCACCCCACATCAAAAATGGTTCAAAAAACACAAAGCCATTGGCTTCTGGGCTGTGGGTAGAATTGCTGTGTTGGGGAATCTTTCTCAAACTCGTCCGTTCTCGCTACAACCTGTGTTCCAGAAACGGGAAGTAGTGGTGGATTGAAGGGGATCTGTTTCTTTTGGGCAATAAGAAGGAACCAAAAGAGGGGGGTCACGGCGATGAATTTCCTCTCAAAAATGGTGATGTTCTAGTGTGGATGGGTGCGAAATCCTGCACCAGTTGGTAGATGGTTTATCCCATTATTTGTCAGAAACAGCAGCCTGAGAGCGCATTTTTCTTGGTGTTTTATACACCTGCAATGCCTGCAATGGGTTAGTTTGATTTTTGGATCTCACCTTCAAGTTTGTCTCTTTTTAAAAGGGTTTCAACCATCCAAGGTGGCAATGGTGCAGGATTTTTTCCATCCACGGTATGTCTAGTTTTCAGAACTGTGCACCCAGATTTTTCGGGTTTTTTAGTGCCCTGCTCCCTCCATAGCTTTTACAGAGACCAGAGCCTGAGCCGCAGGGACACTCAAAAAGAAGTTTTCGAAGAGCCTTGGTGACTTAAATCTGCAATTCAGGCCGGCTACATATCAATGGAATGGATCAAACATGTGAATTTAACCACCAAAAAATTGGGATTTCAGCGCTTAACATTGAGATTGAACCACTCAACGTGGGGATTTAATGGCCAAACAGTTTTAAGAGCATAGGCTGAAACCATGTTTGTTTTTTACCTAGCGAATATAAGCCATCCTGCAATTTTTCCTCCAAACCAATTTTGGGAATGTATGATAGACGTATTCCTACATGGTGGTGCCTCACACTTAGCTGAGTTAGTGTGTTTGCCAAGGTTGACTATGGCTTACGGTAGATGTATCTATCTATCTAATCTAATCTAATCTATCTATCTATCTGTCTAATCTGTCTAATCTATCTAATCTATCCAATCTATGAAATCTATCTCATATATCTAATCTATCTAATCTATCTAATCTATCTCATATATCTAATCTATCTAATCAATCTAATTTATCTAATCTATCTAATCTATCTAATCTACCTAATCTATCTAATCTAATCTAATCTAATTTAATCTAATTTAATCTTATCTATCTATCTATCTATCTATCTATCTGTCTAATAAGTCTAATCTGTCTAATCTATCTAATATATCAAATCTATCTAATCTATCTAATCTATCTAATCTATCTAATTTATCTAATCTATCTAATCTATCTAATCTATCTCATTTATCTAATCTATCTAATCTAATCTAATTTAATCTATCTATCTATCTATCTGTCTATCTGTCTATCTATCTATCTATCTTTCTATCTATCTATCTATCTGTCTATCTATCTATCTATCTATCTATCTATCTATCTATCTAATCCATCTATCTATCTGTCTATCTGTCTATCTATCTATCTATCTTTCTATCTATCTATCTATCTATCTGTCTATCTATCTATCTATCTATCTATCTATCTATCTATCTATCTATCTATCTATCTAATCCATCTATCTATCTATCTATCTATCTTTCTATCTATCTACCTACCTACCTATCTATCTATCTTTCTTTCTATCTATCTATCTACCTATCTATCTATCTATCTATCTATCTATCTATCTATCTATCTATCTATCTATCTATCTATCTATCTACATAATCATGTGTATATATATACATTATTAAATATAGCTATACAATATAAATATATATATATAATTAAACATACAGATATGATAATTTATATTATACATATATATCATGTACAAAGAAACAGTAATTAATATATATATATATATATGTATAGATACGAAGTGAATGCGTTGCTAAACCAACGAACATAACTCGGGGGGGCACCACCCTGTAGGTGATCCCTCAGAAGGCAAATGAACCAGTCAGCCACTGTCCAGTGAAGCCGTTACGAGCGCACGCCAAATTACCTTCGAATGACACACACAATACTGACCTAGTTTCTGACATATCATCGGGAAGTACATATATAGCATATATACATATGGCATAAATATATATCTATATGGCATATAAATATATATATGTATATATATATGGCATATATATAATATTATATGATATATATATATATATATACATAATATGATATAAATATATATATATATTATATTTATATATTAGGACATTCTATCTGACAGTCTTTCTGGCATATACTGTGAAATTCTATCTGACATTCTTTCTGGCATTCTACCCGGCATCTTTTCAGGCATTCATTCTGGCCTTCTATCTGGCATCTATTCGGGCATTCATTCTGGCGTATGTTCTGGCATTGTATAGACATATATTCCGACATTCTGTCTGGCATTCTATCTGGCATTCTGTCTGGCATTCTGTTTGGTATTCTCTCTGGCATGTGTTCGGGCTCAGGCGTGCCCAGCTGTCTCCAGAGCTCGCGATATGGTGTTCGGGTCAAGGCATGCCCGGCTGACTCCAGAGCTCGCGATATGGTGCTCAGGTCCAGGCGTGCCTATGATTCCGGAAGGAAGGGGGGGGAGACTTGCATGTTTATCAAAATCTAGAGATCCTCACCTCGCAAGTGGGGCAAAGAAACTGTTGTCACCTTGAGTACTATACAGATCTGCACAGCCTATACACTGTATGATAAAAATCGATCCATACATCATGATTTTCCAACAGTATGTCCAGTATGTCTATCACAGATTCTGGCTGCCGCATGCTGCCGCCTAAAGACGTCGTTCGAAGCAGCTGGAAAGACTTCTCATCCACAGATGTGTAGGTCTCTCTCACCTTTTTTTGGTAGGTTAACCTGGGATTCCGCACACTCACCGGCGGTTTGCAATTGGGGAGCCACTCCAAAATCACACATGCGAGTTCTTGGGTGGGGCAGATCATGAAACATGTGCTCGAATCGATCTATTTTTGCAAATCACAAAGCTGAGATTCTACTCTTTTCTGGTGGCCCCACGACATGTCGATATACCCAGATTTTTCACATGGAGGTATAGCCGCTGGTGCGGAAGACGTCCATCCCAACAAAACAAGCGGTATAGTGAATGATACGTTGATCTTACCAAATATGGACATAGACCACTGTTGTCAATGATCTACATCGTTGCATGTCGGTCCAAAAACAACACATTGAGTTCTTCACTCTGATCAGTCGCGAGAATGAGTGATCAGGATGCAAAACAATGGTGCAGCAGCCGGTCACCACTGACACAACAGGTCAATGCACTCGGCCAGAAGGCAATTCGGTTTGGCTATTATCAAGGTTCAATGTCCTGTCCACAATTCTGGAATGAAAACCGTGCTGTTTGTACATGATCGGTGCCTGAGTTCCAACGGTTCTCTGTCTGTCTATGTATCTCTGTATGTAAAAAACAAAACATTCATACTGCAACATAGCAATCATATATCAACAATATACTACAGTTGATGGTTTGTTAGCCCCTGTTAAAATTTGAAAACACGAGTTTTAGCGAGTGACATGGCACAGCAAATCCATCTAGTTCAACAATACAACAAACCTAGCGTATGTCTCAAGGGTTAAATGTCAACCGTAAAACAATCTGGATGAATTATGACAGTCCACCAAACTGAAATAAGGTCATTTTGAGTCCTTGTTATTGCCTGTATCCAGAACAAGTATATTGATAATACTATTCTGTAGTTAAACATTATACGCTGTATTAAAGTATATGTTATGATATCATATTTTATGATATTTAATTTGAGTACTGATTTAATAAGATAATTTTAACCATGAATTTTTTTTAATGTTAGTGATTAGCAATTGTATGAACTATTGTATTATACTACATGTTATTTCATGATACTATATTAAATGATGCCATACTAAACTAAAGCAAATTACAACATATTTCATTATCTTACGTTCTATTGCGCTATATTACAATAAGAACACATTTTATTACATTCTATTATCCTACATTACATTATCTTCGCGTTAAATCATATTATCGAAGGAAGTTTAGAAGTCAAACTTCCGACAATATGGGCAGATGGAGAGGCAGAGGTGGGAAGAGTCAGAGTCAGAGAAGAGAAAGAGTCAGCAGAAAGAAGATCAGGGAAGAGAAAGAGTCAGAAGAAAGAAAATGCAGGTGCGCGAAAAGGTAGAAAAGCCGCAAAACACTCCGTTTTTTCCAAAATGTTTTGTGGCTCAGGAAGCTCGAAGAGTAGGCTCACTAAAGCGGCGGGTGCGGAGCTATCCGGTCAGATGAGCGATCAAAAATTGCATGCCGCTGTGGCGCAAAGCAGATTTCGAAGTCAAAATGCGCGAGTGCCTTAGCTTCAGAAAACTTTTGGAACTTCAGATGATGAAAAGTGCACGCCATTGCGGCGCGAAGCACATTTCCAAGTCAAATGTACAAAGCATCTCATTCAGTTTCGGATAGTGGTTGAAAACTTTTGGAAGTTGAGATGTCGAAAAAGTGCATGGCGTTGTGGCACGAAGCACATTTCGAAGCCAAAATGTGCAAAACACGCTATTCTCGGAGCACTTTTGGAAGTTGAGAAGTTCAAAAAGTGCACGCAGTTGCGGTGCGAAGCACATTTCGAAGTCAAAATGTGAAAAGCACATCAAGTTTGGACCACTTTCGGACGTTCAACCGCACCACACTACACTACACTACAGCTACAACATAAACTTCTACAGCTACAACTACACCTGCAACTACAGCTACAACTACTACAACACTACACTACAACCAAAAGTACAACTACAGTTACAATTACAACTACAGCAGCCCTACACTACATTACACTACATTACACCACATTACACTACAGTACACTACATTACACTAGATTACGCTACATTACGCTACATTACACTGCAACTACAACTATCACAATACACTACAACTACACCTACAACTACGCTACAGCTACAACTACACTACAACTACACCTACAACCACAAGTACAACTACAAGAACAACTACAAGTACAGCTACACTACAGCTACAACTACACCTACACCTACAACTACATACCTCTACAGCTACAACTACAACTACAACTGCCACTACACTACAATTACAACTGCAACTACAAGAGCAACTGCCACTACACTACGATTAAAACAACAACAGCAACAGCAACAACAACAACAACAGCAACTTCAACTTCTACTTCTTCTACTACTACTACTGCTGCTACTTCTGCTACTTCTGCTACTTCTACTACTTCTGCTACTTCTGCTACTTCTGCTACTTCTGCTACTACTGCTACTGCTACCACTCCCACTAACACTACCACTACTGCTACTACTACTGCTACTACTACTGCTACTACTACTACTGCTACTGCTAGTACTACTGCTACTACTACTACTACTACTACTACTACTGACTACTACTACTACTACTACTACTACTACTACTACTACTACTACTACTACTACTGACTACTACTACTACTACTACTACTACTACTACTACCACCGACTACTACCGACTACTACTGACTACTACTGACTACTACTGACTACGACTGACTACGACTGACTACTACTGACTACGACTGACTACGACTGACTACTACTGACTACTACTGACTACTACTGACTACTACTGACTACTACTGGCTACTACTGACTACTACTGACTACTACTGACTACTACTGACTACTACTGACTACTACTGACTACTACTGGATACTATTGACTACTACTGACTACTACTGACTACTACTGACTACTACTGACTACTACTGACTACTACTAGTACTGACTACTACTGACTACTACTGACTACTACTGACTACTACTGACTACTACTGACTACTACTGACTACTACTGACTACTACTGACTACTACTGACTACTACTGACTACTACTGACGACTACTGACGACTACTGACTACTACTGACTATAACTGACTACTACTGACTGCTACTGACTACTACTGACTACTACTACTGACTACTACTATTGACTATTGACTACTGACTACTGACTACTACTACTGACTACTACTACTGACTACTACTACTGACTACTACTACTACTACTACTACTTCTACTACTACTACTACTACTACTGACTACTACTACTACTACTACTGACTACTACTACTACTGACTACTACTACTACTGACTACTACTACTACTGACTACTACTACTACTGACTACTACTACTACTGACTACTACTACTACTACTACTACTATTACTACTACTACTGACTACTACTGACTACTACCGACTACTACCGACTACTACCGACTACTACCGACTACTACCGACTACTACCGACTACTACCGACTACTACCGACTACTACCGACTACTACCACTACTACTACTACGACTACTACTACTACTACTACTACTGACTACTACTACTACGACTACTACGACTACTACGACTACTACGACTGACTACGACTGACTACGACTGACTACGACTGACTACGACTGACTACGACTGACTACGACTGACTACGACTGACTACGACTGACTACGACTGACTACGACTGACTACGACTGACTACGACTGACTACGACTGACTACGACTGACTACGACTGACTATACGACTGACTACTACTGACTACCAGTGACTACTACTGACTACCAGTGACTACTACTGACTACTACTGACTACTACTGACTACTACTGACTACTACTGACTATACTACTGACTACTACTGACTATACTACTGACTACTACTGACTACTACTGACGACTACTGACGACTACTGACGACTACTGACTATAACTGACTACTACTGACTACTACTGACTACTACTGACTACCAGTGACTACTACTGACTACTACTGAATACCAGTGACTACTACTGACTACTACTGACTACTACTGACTACTACTGACTACTACTGACTACTACTGACTACTACTGACTACTACTGACTACTACTGACTACTACTGACGACTACTGACGACTACTGACGACTACTGACTATAACTGACTACTACTGACTACTACTGACTACTACTACTGACTACTACTACTGACTACTACTATTGACTACTGACTACTGACTACTGACTACTACTACTGACTACTACTACTGACTACTACTACTGACTACTACTACTGACTACTACTACTGACTACTACTACTGACTACTACTACTGACTACTGACTACTACTACTGACTACTACTACTGACTACTACTACTGACTACTACTACTGACTACTACTACTGACTACTACTACTGACTACTACTACTGACTACTACTACTGACTACTACTACTGACTACTACTACTACTGACTACTACTACTACTGACTACTACTACTACTGACTACTACTACTGACTACTACTACTGACTACTACTACTGACTACTACTACTGACTACTACTACTGACTACTACTACTACTGACTACTGACTACTACTACTTCTACTGACTACTACTACTACTACTGACTACTACTACTACTACTACTACTACTACTACTACTGACTACTACTACTACTACTACTACTACTACTGACTACTACTACTACTACTACTACTACTACTACTACTGACTACTACTGACTACTACTGACTACTACTGACTACTACTGACTACTACTGACTACTACCGACTACTACCGACTACTACCGACTACTACCGACTACTACCGACTACTACCGACTACTACCGACTACTACCGACTACTACCGACTACTACCGACTACTACCGACTACTACCGACTACTACCTACTACTACCTACTACTACCTACTACTACCTACTACTACTACCGACTACTACTACTACTACCACTACTACCGACTACTACCGACTACTACCGACTACTACCGACTACTACCGACTACTACCGACTACTACCGACTACTACCGACTACTCCGACTACTACGACTACTCCTACTGACTACTACTGACTACTACTGACTACTACTGACTACTACTGACTACTACTGACTACTACTGACTACTACTGACTACTACTGACTACTACTGACTACTACTGACTACTACTGACTACTACTGACTACTACTGACTACTACTGACTACTACTGACTACTACTGACTACTACTGACTACCACTGACTACCACTGACTACCACTGACTACCACTGACTACCACTGACTACCACTGACTACCACTGACTACCACTGACTACCACTGACTACCACTGACTACCACTGACGACCACTGACGACCACTGACGACCACTGACGACCACTGACGACCACTGACGACCACTGACTACTACTGACTACTACTGACTACTACTGACTACGACTGACTACTACTGACTACGACTGACTACTACTGACTACGACTGACTACTACTGACTACTACTGACTACTACTGACTACTACTGACTACTACTGACTACTACTGACTACTACTGACTACTACTACTGACTACTACTACTGACTACTACTACTGACTACTACTACTGACTACTACTACTGACTACTACTACTACTGACTACTACTACTACTGACTACTACTACTACTGACTACTACTACTGACTACTACTACTGACTACTACTACTGACTACTACTACTGACTACTACTACTGACTACTACTACTGACTACTGACTACTGACTACTGACTACTGACTACTGACTACTGACTACTGACCTCTGACCTCTGACTACTGACTACTGACTACTGACTACTGACCTCTGACCTCTGACTACTGACTACTGACTACTGACGACTGACGACTGACTACTGACGACTACTGACTACTGACGACTGACGACTGACGACTACTGACGACTACTGACTACTGACTACTGACTACTGACGACTACTGACGACTACTGACTACTGACTACTACTGACTACTACTGACTACTACTGACTACTACTGACTACTACTGACTACTACTGACTACTACTACTACTGACTACTACTACTACTACTGACTACTACTACTGACTACTGACTACTGACTACTGACTACTGACTACTGACTACTACTACTGACTACTACTACTGACTACTACTACTGACTACTACTACTACTGACTACTACTACTGACTACTACTACTACTGACTACTACTGACTACTACTACTACCGACTACTACCGACTACTACCGACTACTACCGACTACTACCGACTACTACCGAATACTACCGACTACTACCGACTACTACCGACTACTACCGACTACTACCGACTACTACCGACTACTACCGGCTACTACCGCCTACTACCGGCTACTACCGGCTACTACCGACTACTACTGACTACTACCGACTACTACCGACTACTACCGACTACTAGACTACTACCGACTACTAGACTACTACCGACTACTAGACTACTACCGACTACTACTACTACTACTACTAGTACTACTACTACTACTACCACCACTACTACTACTACTACTACTACTACTACTACGACTACTACTACTACGACTACTACGACTACTACGACTACTACGACTACTACGACTACTACGACTACTACGACTACTACGACTACTACGACTACTACGACTACTACGACTACTACGACTACTACGATACTACGACTACTACGACTACTACGACTACTACGACTACTACGACTACTACGACTACTACGACTACTACGACTACTACGTACTACTACTACGACTACTACGACTACTACTACTACTACTACTACTACTACTACTACTACTACTACTACTACTACTACTACTACTACTACTACTCCTCCTCCTACTCCTACTCCTACTCCTACTCCTACTTCTACTACTTGTACTACTTCTACTACTCCTGCAGTTGCAACTGCAACGACAGCAGCAGCAACAACTACAACTACGACTACAACTACACTACGACTACAACAACTACTACAACTACAACTACAGCTACACTCAGTACAGTACACCACACTACATCCAGCAGTTGTGGGTGAGGTGCCTGCAACCACTCTAAAACGCACAACTCCAACCACCTTTCGGTCCATCAGTTCGCTCTGCAATCCATGCATCACAACAGCTCACCTCTCCGATAGTTTCCTATCTTTGAAACTTCCGCCACCGCCTTGTGCGGTACTACTGGTATCATGTTTCATCATATTCGACTAATTATAGCATATTAATGCATATTATATCAGCATACCAATTGTCGCATACCAATTGTCACCTCCCAAATCTCCCAGTTCTTCTCGCACCAGGCTGCAGAGTCTTGCGATCCATCAACATCTGCTCCAGCCTGTCCCAGAACCAGTTCCACGCTACATCCATGTCGCTGTTCCACTCCTGGCAGATGTTGATTTTTTTATGAGCTTGGGAATCTCACGATTGTTTCATCACAGTTATGGCCATGAACAGTTATAAATGGACATATTACCCCTATAACTAAGGTTATATACCATTATAAACCCATTTATAACTGTTAAGGACCAAAACTGTAGTCTGAGACCTAGCTTGAGACAACGGGCGCGGTCATGTGGTCGTCAAAACTGAAGCACAACTCCAGCGCGAAAGTTTTTGAGTCTTGGGGTACTCAATGTTGATACACAAGCTTTCTTCCTCACAATGCGCAATGACCAGAAATGTTTTCCAATTAACGAACCGCATGGCTAGATATGAGTTGTTGTCCAATATATCGGTGCTTTCCACTGCTAGGTCAAAGTACTGAGATTATAGACTATGACATATATATACACATAATACTGTAATATATTTAATAAAAAATATATATATATATAGATATAGACTATGACATATATTATACATAATACTGTAATATATGTATATGTATATATATATATGTATATGTAAATATATATATATTATTATATCATATTATATACATATGTATATATATAATTATATAAAATTAATTATATATATATATATACACACGTTACTTCCAGATTCTTGGACAATTTGCTATTCAGCCAGAAATGTCCCTTCCCAGTGGTTTTTAGAAGCGAGCGTTATGGCAGCCGATTCGTCACAACCAGCGGCTGTCGCTCGATTCGTTTTGTTCGGTTACCCCCCATGGTCCGAGTTTGTCCACGATTTTCGGCGGTCAGATTTCCATGTTGGGTTTGTAACTCCAATAACTATGGTTTATGGTATTTATAACTATATACTATAGTTACTGGGGCTTTTGTTAACCAACTTATATCTTGGGGGCCTCACATTGTAGCCCATCTTTGTGGTTCATCTCCCAACTTTCGATGATTGACTCTATCAAACATGAGGTTGTATCATGTGCTTTCTGGGAAAAAAAACTTCTAGCCTCAATTGAATTTCTCGTGTTGCTTGGTCAAGTTCACCCATTTTCCTGGCTTTTGGGGATCCAACAATAACATGTTGGGGGTCTTCAAAATAATTCCGTACCGGCCATGCCTTGACCAAAGATCTCAAAGTCGCTAGCCTCAGGAAAGGGTCTGGGTCAGCAACGGATACTGGCTTTGTCTATAAACATCCACTAAGAATGGCGATATCATGGACTTATTATGGGGATACATAGAATTATATAACCAATAATGACCAAGAATCATTGATGGATGTGAGATAGCCACGCTAAACCCTCATCATTATTAATGTTCCGTCCTGTTTTGCCTGTGCCACCCCCATACAAATACTATACCTTCTTTAAATTGGGTGCACAAAAGCTGTTCCCCAGAAAAAATACGATCGCACATTTAAGTAAGGGTTTCAATTGGCGACAATTGAAATATAATTAAGACCACTTTTTTGCCGATGAACTTGTGATATGTGTAGTACTTGTAGTACTTGTAGTACTTGCAGTACTTGTAGTGAATGGGGTTCAGCATGTTGATTGCGTTACCTTTCCTTTCCACCTTAAGGGTTTTATTCAAAGTGTAATAAGAGAAAGAAAAAGAGAAAGAAAAAGGGAAAGAACAAGAGAAAGAAAGAGAGAAAGAAAAGAGAAAGAAAGAGAGAAAGAAAGAGAGAAAGAGAAAGGGAACGAGAGCGAGAGAAAGAGGAAGAGGAAGAGGAAGAGGAAAAGGAAGAGGAAGGAAGGGGAAATAGGAAGAGGAAAATAAAGAGAAAGAGACACGAAAAAAGAAAGAAAAGGAGAAAGAAAAAGAAAGATAAAGAGAAAGAGAAAAGGTATACCTTTCTTCTCTTGGCTCCAGGATCAGCTCTGGAAATTGTGAACCCTGACAACAAACCTGCTAAAGTGAATTGGATCCTCTCATGGCCCTGTGCCTTGGAAATGTGTGGAAAAGATGTTCTTTAATACAGATTTAATAAGCGATCTGATTCTCTTGGGAAAGGCTTGGACTTTGAACTTGGCAATTGCTTGTGGAAAAGGCCTACATTACTTCTCTTGGCTCCAGGATCAGCTCTGGAAAAGTTTGCTGCAATTGTGATCCCTGAGAACAAACCTGCTAAAGTGAATTGGGCCCTCTCATGGCCCACTGCCGTGGAAAATTGTGGAACATGTGGAAAAGCTGTTCTTTAATGATAAGGGTTTAATAAGCGATCTGATTCTGTTGAGAAAGGCAGACAAGCAATATGTTTTCCCGGAAAAAACGTAATATATATATATTTTTTACACACACACACATTTTTTGTTGACGAAAGAATGGTTTGCCAATAATTCTTGCCACAATAGTGAACCTTCCAAAGATTACATGGGTTCGGATTTTTTTGGCCACAATACCGAACCTAGCTACTAATCAGGATGCAACATTACAAGTGCCCCGCCGCTTGTGTTTCTTGGTTTGAGAAGTTTATAACTCCATGATAACTAGTTCGATATATCAACAATAAACGCCCATAAACCATAGCATTCACCTATACGCAAATAAACAAACTTAGCTAAGGAACTGGGGCGCCACCTTGTAACATCTTGTAACCAACAAAATGAGGACGACAACCAGGAAAAAGGAATATAGTGGACAAGGCTTTGCAACTTCATAAGTTTCGTATCTATCAAAGGATTTCATGCGCACGATACGTGGGGCACTCTGGAACTAAAGTTCAAGATGAAGAGACCATATGACATGCATGTCATAGAATGCACATGTATAAAATGGAGGACCGATGGGCTACAACTAGCAAGAATAGGCAAGTCCTAAGAAACGAAAAGACGATACGACACCCAAAGCTGATGATCATGAAACTAAGTGCCGCTAGCTTTCTGTTGAATCGCATCCTAGCTAGAACAAGCATTGACCAGAAGTCAGCATGATTGCCAACCATTCGCGAATAAGCTGCTTCACTACCTGGATGCTTTACCAAACCATTTACTGCAAGTGAATGGTTGGGATATGTTGGGATAAACAACAAGCTCATCGGCGATGCCTGCGGTTTTTAAGCCAAGTAGCAGAACGACCTTGAACTCGGAATAGGTGATTTTGTTCAAATACTTGGTGAGGACCATCGACAAAACATCGCATTCTTCCTGCCCATTGCGATCATATCATCCTAGCATGCAGCATTTCTGTTGTATCTATAGGCCTCTGGAAATAAAAAAAACCTGCAGTTGCACGTCCAATCGTTTTTCAAAACTCGTTGATCACCATTCGATCATTCTTAGATATTCTTAGAATCTAGTCCTCAGCAACCCCTGATGTGTTTTCTTCCACTATGTTTCATTCATGTTTGCCATTTCCTGGCCTTTCCCAGTCTTCCCTTGGCCTGCAATCGGTGGAGGTAATGCACATTGCTGGCGATGGCGTCGAACTGATCTAAGATTAAATCCATCCACTCTGAGTCCTGATGCGGACCCAAGGTTTTGGTTGGCACAGAAATTCTGAAAGTAATGGGATTTTACGGAATTTAATGGGATAATTATGAATTCTGCAATCTCATTAAATCATGATTACCATATATACCCTCTGGTTATGACTAACGTAGCTATAGAAAATCACCACTTTTAAGAGGTAAATATAGGTAAATCATCAAACAACATCTGTACATGGACTATTTTCCATGGCTATGTTAAATAACCAGAGGGTATAATTCACCAGCTCTGAAAGTAAAGCCATTCTAGTGCCGTCGTAGCGAGGTCGGTATATCTTCCCGAGATTAGTGCGTCTGTGTGGTGCAAGATGTAGATACATACGGCAATAATTAATTATGTACCATAACATCTGTTGCATGTACTACAAGTGTGCCTACCCAAAGTGGCCCCCCCAGTTATAAGTTGATTTATAACGAATAACTGTAGATATATTCCTGGTTGGTGGTATACCTACCCCTCTGAAAAATATGAAAGTCAGTTGGAATGATTCTTCCCAATCTATGGGAAAATAAAAGCAATGTTCCAAACCACCAACCAAATTCCCCAAAAAGTATAACAAAGTAATCGTAGCACCAAGTGAACGCAATTTTGTTTGGGGGCCCCACCGAACGTAGTCAGGTTTTTGGGGGCCCCCAGGTATGGTTGCTTCAGCTAGCTCAGCTAGCCATCGAGAAAGAATATGAAGGACTCAAAAGAAACCCATCACTTGATGGATTTTGTGAAAACATGGATGTTGGTGGCATAAAATTTCTTCCCGGTGATCATGATCAATTTGCTGACCAATCACTCACCCCAAAAAAAAAATGGTCCTCGCTGTGGGGTTTCGCTCCGGGAGCACCGAACCACCCGAACCCCATCCAATCCATTCCAATTCCAACTCAGCGCTGCATCAAGAGACTTCATAGCCCATGACACAGGAATTGAAGAGAAACATTTCATTGAAGGTCTTCGGAACATTGAGTCCTTTCCTTAAAACGCATTCATCAAAAGACTTGGGGTCAACAGTCACCAAAAGACCTTCAAAAGCACCTGCTTTTGACAATGCTAAATTTCCAAACAATAGACAATAATAATAGTTATCTTCGGCATGTATATATATATATATATACACACTGCATGTATACATACACAAATATAATTAAACACACATATATCATATCATATATACACATGAACACATGGCTAAATTCAGAGGCGATCTTATGGGATAGTGTCACTGGTTTTCCGGTTTCGTCTCCTGGGTTCCCAGCTGGCTTCATCAATTGGTTCTGCAGCACCGACAGAAATGACAGCTCACAAGAATGGAGACGAAAAAAGAGAAGAACACAGTTATGGCCATTTACCAGATATAACTGGTTATAAATGGGATTATACATTCTATAAATGGGGTTATAAGCACTTATAACTAATAAATGGCCATAACTGCAGAATTGGAATTGAAAGGAATAAAGATGAAAAAAGGAAAGAATGAGGGAAGAAAGCATAGGACACACCTTAAAGATGCAAGAAGAAAATTGGACGAAGCAGGAGGACAAATCTATCTTCCAAGGACAAGACGAGGCTTTGTTCATTCCAGTGGATCCAGTGGATGATTTTTACGTGTTCCCCTTGAATTTTTAATGCTGTGAAATGGGGGTATAGTAACCCATTTTCAGACACACCCCCAATATCATTAATATTGTTGGTCACATAATTTCACAGAATGACCTACCAGAAAAACTTCCATAAAATCATCTGCAATCCCATGAACAATCATATTAAGTCCCACGAAATCCCTATGAAATCCCGTGAAATCCATTGTTTGCCCAGTTTGATGGATAACTTATATAGGACTCAAACCATAAAGCCCAGCGTCCGCCGGCGTTTCGCGGCCTTGCTAAAGTCGTGAAACTTCTCCTCGTCAGAAGTGTTATGGGCATGGGACAAAGTGGTCAACCCTAAAAGAGGAATGGACTATAATGGATTGACCATAATTGTTTGACCATAAATAGTATTATATATCCATTATAATTCCATAGTGTTAAACACTATAGTGGATAATAATGGATTAACACTATAGTGGATATTAGATAATGGATATATAATCGATTCATATATCATTTGAAAAATCTGGATCAAGACCACATATATGGCTAAATTTCACAATGGTGACCCTTGGCAACCCAATTTTGGCAAATGTCGATAGGGACCTATTCACATATTCGCAAACAAACCTACAGAATTCACATCTTGCCAATTTTGGATGGTTTCTCTGATTGACCATGGTTTACTATAGGTCTTCAAACATGTCCAAATCGGCAACGATGGCTTTCCACTTCACGGTGGATCTCCAGCAACTTTCAACAGAACGGCCCGGCTTCATTAAGGGATTTCCCAGCGGCCCGCCCGAATGTCCGAAGGCTAGTCATATGATGTCATATGTCTGGAGCTTCACCCCATGACCATCATGACCACTTCACATTTTTCCACTCCTGTGCAGCGTTTTCTGCCTTCAACTTTCCAGATGTTTCACCCACCTGGCTCAGGCTGCAGAACAACACTGGGGGGGTTGAAAACGCGTACGTTTTCCGAAGCGTACTATAGAAATCTATAGAATGATTCATGTTGTGGATGAATTTCCCGAGTGCAGGATATGTCCCTTTTTGACGCTCAAATGTGTCTTATGAGCTGACTGGGAAAATCAAACCAGCTAAGCAAGAAACGTTGACAACAGTTTACTGGCGCCTGTTGAAAAAAACTAGGGAAACAAATTTTGATACACCAACTACTTGACCTAGCTCACCAGCTCTCATCTGTTGCAGCTGCAACTTGAGATTCCTCACAGTACTGTGGTCAAACAGCAGGTGTGGAGAAGTACCTTCTAGGTCTGTGAGACACTTGGACTTTCAAGGTTCCTTACATTTCAACTATAAGTACCTATGAAATGGCAATTTAAGACTCAAGGAAAAAAGAAAGGTGATGTCTGCAAATTATCAGGCAAGTTGTCAAATCCGCATTAATATATATATATATAGATTATATATATATATTATCTATATATATATATATGGCATTTATACGGGTGACATCCCCATTTTTACACATGTTTGCTGCTCATTTTGTCGCAGATTCAACCCGACACGTGGACTCCCAAGCCCAAGCAGCCTCTGATTTCTCCTCATCAACGAGCTCTGCCTCGTCCACTTTCTTATTGGCTTGCCTTCCAGCTGACGGGTTGATGACCAAACATTGGTCGGATTGCATCGGTTGTCTCAGTTATGTATAGTTTATGTCTAGTTTATGTAAAGTTTATGTATAGTTTATGTATAGTTTATGTATAGTTTATGTCTAGTTTATGTATAGTTTATGTCTAGTCTATGTCTAGTTTGTGCATAGTTTATGTAATAGTTTATGTATAGTTTATGTCTAGTTTATGTAAAGTTTATACAAAATTTATATATAGTTAATGTATAGTTTATGCATAGTTTATGTCTAGTTTACGTCTAGTTTATGTATAGTTTATGTCTAGTTTATGCAAAGTTTATGTATAGTATATGTATAGTTTATGTATAGTTCATGTATAGTTTATGTCTAGTTTATGTCTTGTTTATGTATAGTTTATGTATAGGTTATGTATAGGTTATGTATAGTTTATGCATAGTTTATGTCTAGTTTATGTCTAGTTTATGTCTAGTTTACGTCTAGTTTATGTATAGTTTATGTCTAGATTATGTATAGTTTATGTATAGTTTATACAAAATTTATGTATAGCTAATGTATAGTTTATGTATAGTTTATGTCTAGTTTATGTATAGTTGATGTCTAGTTTATGTATAGTTTATGTGTAGTTTATGTATAGTTTATGTATAGTTTATGCATAGTTTATGTATAGTTTATGTATAGTTTATGTATAGATTATGTATAGTTTATGTCTAGATTATGTATAGTTTATGTATAGTTTATACAAAATTTATGTATAGCTAATGTATAGTTTATGTATAGTTTATGTCTAGTTTATGTATAGTTGATGTCTAGTTTATGTCTAGTTTATGTCTAGTTTATGTATAGTTTACGTCTAGTTTATGTATAGTTTATGTCTAGATTATGTATAGTTTATGTATAGTTTATACAAAATTTATGTATAGCTAATGTATAGTTTATGTATAGTTTATGTCTAGTTTATGTATAGTTGATGTCTAGTTTATGTATAGTTTATGTGTAGTTTATGTATAGTTTATGTATAGTTTATGCATAGTTTATGTATAGTTTATGTATAGTTTATGTCTAGTTTATGTCTAGTTTATGTCTTGTTTATGTACAGTTTATGTCTAGTTTATGTCTAGTTTATGTATAGTTTATGTATAGTTTATGCATAGTTTATGTATAGTTTATGTATAGTTTATGTCTAGTTTATGTCTAGTTTATGTCTTGTTTATGTACAGTTTATGTCTAGTTTATGTCTAGTTTATGTATAGTTTATGTATAGTTTATGCATAGTTTATGTATAGTTTATGTATAGTTTATGTCTAGTTTATGTCTAGTTTATGTCTTTATGTACGAAAACCGTTCCCGTAAAACGCACGTTTTTGAATATCGCGATTGTGGGGTGGGGTGGGGTGGGGTGGGGTGGGGGGGTGTTCACGTACCTTGTACTTCGTACATGATCCATTGCTACGCTGCTAAGATCTCTGGGATCGTTACTACGTTACATGTTGCTACGCTGCTGAGATCTCTGGGATCGTTTACTACGTTACATGTTGCTACGCTGCTGAGATCTCTGGGATCGTTTACTACGTGACATGTTGCTACGCTGCTGAGATCTCTGGGATCGTTTACTACGTTACATGTTGCTACGCTGCTGAGATCTCTGGTATCGTTTACTACGTTACATGACTACTGCTTCTCTGCTACGTTACATGGCTACGATCGATCTACGTTACATGTCGCTACTACGTTACATGTTGCTACGCTGCTGAGATCTCTGGGATCGTTTACTACGTTACATGTCGCTACGCTGCTGAGATCTCTGGGATCGTTTACTACGTTACATACATGTTGCTACGCTGCTGAGATCTCTGGGATCGTTTACTACGTTACATGTTGCTACGCTGCTGGGATCTCTGGGATCGTTTACTACGTTACATACATGTTGCTACGCTGCTGAGATCTCTGGGATCGTTTACTACGTTACATGTCGCTACGCTGCTGAGATCTCTGGGATCGTTTACTACGTTACATGTTGCTACGCTGCTGAGATCTCTGGGATCGTTTACTACGTTACATGTTGCTACGCTGCTGAGATCTCTGGGATCGTTTACTACGTGACATGTTGCTACGCTGCTGAGATCTCTGGGATCGTTTACTACGTTACATGTTGCTACGCTGCTGAGATCTCTGGTATCGTTTACTACGTTACATGTTGCTACGCTGCTGAGATCTCTGGGATCGTTTACTACGTTACATGTCGCTACGCTGCTGAGATCTCTGGGATCGTTTGCTACGTTACATACATGTTGCTACGCTGCTGAGATCTCTGAGATCTCTGAGAGCTTGGCAATGGAGATGCATTCGCAAGAATGCTGACTGCCAGCTGTTTACTACGCATGCGTTGCAGCGATGACGCTGAAAAACGAAAAAACGCGCCCCAAGTTTTTCCAGGATTTCCAATCATCAAATTAGCACGGCACTGTGGTAAAATCACCATTTGTTTTAAAACTGTGCGTTTTATGGGAACGGTTTCCGGTCCGGCGGGTAGTTTATGTATGATTTATGTCTAGTCTATGTATAGTTTATGAATTGTTTATGTATAGTTTATGTGTAGTTTATGTATAGTTTATGTATAGCTTATGTCTAGTTTATGTATAGTTTATGCATGGTTTATGTACAGTTTATGTCTAGTTTATGTCTAGTTTATGCGTAGTTTATGTATAGTTTATGTATAGTTATGGTATTATGTTGTGTTGATTTGTATGTGTCAACCCAAGTCACATGGGCGCTTAAAGATTAAGGCGCCATGAGGGACTCTCAACTGAGCCCAGCCTCCAACTTTTCTGAATGGCCTTCACCTTGGCACGACACGGCGACAACGCGGCGACATCTTTCGAAGCCTGGAAGCAGCTGAGATCATAGTACTATTATAGAGTACTATTTCTGTTGGTCCCACCCAAAATTTATTGTACATAGATGTACATATTTCAAAATGTCGCTGTGTATGATTTTTTTTTTCGCACCCCCCCAGTTTGATGGTTTATGACCATTGTGATGCCAACTATAAAATGACAATGTTCAGGGTATGGCCCATTTTCAGACAAGCCCATGTACAAAGCTTGGAAGCTTGGAAGGGGTCGTGGAAACATCTTGAAATCAGATGAAATGGCTTCGCTGTGAGCCCAGCCGAACAGCTAAACATCGAACTTCTGAATCTCTTCTTGGCAGCTCTGTTGTAAAATGGTACTGAAATCCGGACTGGACAACCTTAAAACTGAAAATAAATTGTGTTTTGCATGTTTTCGGCCTGAGCTCAACATGTAATCTGTAGTTAAGATATCACTGATATCACATGAGATCACTGACTGCCTTGCGAACGAGGTGCCCGAGTTGCAAAAGTATCATGGGTATAGAGCAAGGCTCCAGAAATGTAGTTCCTGGTGGGTCTCTGATGGCTGGTTGCAGCAGGAATGGAAGCAAACAACACATATAAAAGAATCATTTTGCATCATGATCCCATGTAGAGCTACGGAATTTAGATCTGCCTAAAAAATCTGTTGGGGAAGAAAAACATCCCGTCCACTGGTTTATCATCATGTTTCCCATCAATATATATATGTATGTACAATAACCATGTAATTTATGATTTAACGGGTAATATAGTTGGCATCAGACAGACCTCAAGACTTTGAAGGTCCCAGAACTGGGATGATGTTTGTAATCTAGTTGTTCCACTCCACAAGCAGGTTTTTGGTAGCAAAGTCATCATCTTCCAGGTGGAATTAGTTGGTATATAAAATGCCAAAGGATACAAGAAGCATCAGTTCAAACAAATTCAAAGCATGTTCCAGCCAACCTCAACATACTTACAAGGTGCCCCCGCCCAGTTATAAGTTGGTTCATTGGTTCGTAAACCCCATTATGCAAGTATATAAAAAGTAAATAATTATGCATATTTGTATATATTTGTATATATATATGATTATATATGTACGTAGTATTATATATTAGATGTGTCTACAATAACCATATAGTTAACCTCTGCAGATACACCAACTCAACGTTTTTTTGGCTTCTGGCATGCTTCTGGCCCTGAACTTTGTCGACAAGGTGCAAGATTACGTTGAAACATTTTCGTGCATCGCAGTGCGGTGGAAATTGTGCGACTCCAAGTTCTTGTTCAATCAAAGACACCTCAGTCACTTCAGTCTCCATTCAGGCTGCCCTGCCACGGGGCAAAACTGACCGTTTCTTAAAACAAGAACACTTTCAAAATCATCAAAAAGATGGGCCTGTGCTCAAATGGAAGAGCTGTATTTGATGATATTGTGGGCTACTCTGGGCAGCTTCCTTCTGTTTCGTTTCGCCATGGTGCCTGGCACCCTGCGTTTTTAAGTTTTGAATAACCCTTCAACCAACAGCCCAAACCAGTTTACAGCTTTTACCACTCATTGGTATAGAAAATAGATGAACATAGTGGAATGCTTCAAAAAACACCTGCCCTTCTTTGGGATGTTTGGTTTTCACCATCGCCGTGGGGACCTAGACCCCAACCATCGCCTTAAAACCGCATGGGCCGAGCTCCAAGAAAAGGGGGAGCACCCAAGGCTGTTTGGACAAGGTCCAAAAGAATTGCCATCACGTCAGAACTGCCAGGAACTCGTGTTTAAATCCAAATAGCCCACATAATTCATCCAGTTTTCATATAAAACCCTACTTCGTGGCTGTTTCATAAGTGCTTTCTTCATTTCCGATTCTTGATGCAGGCAATATCTCCAGTATACCATACCATTCCATTGCGGGTGAGCAGTTTTCAACTGCTGAATTTCTCCATCTTGCGCACCAAGGCGCGATGACGTCGCGGAAGAGTTCGCACTTGGAAAAGGTCACGGCCAGTGACAGGTGCGAAAACCCCATGGCCTCTGCTCCTGGATGGGGACCCTATACCGCTGCTGGGAGCTTCCAAAAAGCGTTGCTTATACCATGGTCAAAAACAAATGGAGTCAACAAGGGCATCAAATGCCCGATGTCATAAGTTTGAAGGGGCTATTGCTCCGAAAACTACACAGACTGATTTGTTTTGGGGGATGATGTCATTCTTCAAGGCACCCTATCGCTCCTCGCAGCAAATTACAGACATGTACGGGAAGTGCTGGAGAGCCACATGTACATCCCTTACTCGTACCATGTTTTGATCCTTGCTCATATGGGGATTGGTCAACATTTACAGCAAACAAAAATCAGAGTTGGGAATGGGTATTGAGGATAGCCGTTGAATTTTGGGGGCAAATGCAGTACCCAATCTTCACCCATGCCCATATCATCCCATATAAACATCACCTCCCAGCGGGAACAAACATTCAGCACTAGCAAATGACAATTACACTTCCAATCTTTTAGGAAATAGATGTCTATAGATGTCTATAGATGTCTATTAAACAAATGTGGGTAAAGTGATTTATAGATGGTCAGTAAATTTCTTGGTCGCCCCATGTTCGGTGCTTACCAGCCTCGCCCTACTTTGGTAGATCGTCCTCCCAAAGGCGAGGAGGTGTGGGGATAAACCATGGATATGCAGTATTTTACTGACCCACCAAAGGGATTTCTGTATTGAAACTAAAATCATAACTGATATTACCTTAAGATTAACATTAGTATAAACCGTAGGACATTCTGACATTATTTGAGGTTTCACCCTTTTTGCCACCCTACCTGCCGTGAAACAAATCCGCATCAAGGCTCGGTTGCGCAGGACCTCCGCATCCGAAAGCTCTGTGATGAGCGCCGCGAGGCCATCGAGGAAGCGACTGCTCCAAACGGTGCGCGGGAAGGTGCTAAAGTCATCCGTGATGATCCTCCATGTGGCCAGTTTTCAAGGACTGCCATGGGGGAAAAGCAAAAGGTTGGCGGCCTCCCAAATGGTGGGTTTTGGGGGGGGCGTTTCGAGGGTGGGGGAGGGGTGGGGGGGGGAGTTTGGGGGGGGTGTAATAACGTTATTTTGTCATCTTTTGTCTGTGTTTCAAAGACGTTGCAACATTGCTACGTTGCAACATCTTCTTCAAGTAACTTTCAAGACGCTCTTGATATGTCGTAACACTTTCTTCAAGTAACTCCCAAGACGCTCTTGATACGTCGCAACATTTTTCAATAAACTTCCAAGACGCTCTTGCTACGTCGCAACATTTTTTCAATAAACTTCCAAGACACTCTTGCTACGTCGTAACAGCTCCGGCAAGTAACTTCCAAAATCTCTTGATACATCGCAACATCTTCTTCAAATAATATCCAAGACATATTCTTCAAATAACTTCCAAGACGCTCTTGATACGTCGAAACAGCTTCCTCAAGTAACTTCCAACACGCTCTTGATACGCCGTAACATGTTTCAAGTAACTTCCAATACGTCTTCTTCAAGAAACTTCCAAGACGCTCTTGATACGTTGTAACATCTTCTTTGTTGACCGAACCTGGGATATACCTGGGATCATATGAAGTCATACATCGCACACATTTCACGTAGTCTTTCTTCCAAGATATTAAATGCACACGGTACAACAGCTGCACTGACGAGACACTGCCTAATATGGCAATGGTTGCATGAAGTCTTGGCTCCTGGCTACTCCCTATGGGATCAGTTGGCCAAGCTTTGTAAAAAAAACACAACAACAAACTTGGACTGTGGCGTCTCGCATGATGATGAAAAGAGGCTGTAGAATCATCACGTTGAAAAGCGCTTTTCAAGCGCCGCACCTCCACAGGCGCCGCGGCACCAAAAACATGCGCGCTTAACCATGAAAAAATGGTTGTGTATTTAATGGTGTAGAACAGAATGGCACATATCTTCCTAAAGTTCTTCTGTAAATCGAAAAGACATCGGGATGAAATGTATCATATTCAATAGTGTAAGTGTAAACGTATTGCAAGATACGTCTTCGGACTTTCAGTACCAACAGGTCCTCGGAGCAGCTTCCAAGATAGCATCGTAGATGAGTTCCCCTGCAGATTGTCTGCCACCTACCTGGGCGGTCAGGTGGTGGTGACAAGGGTCCATTTGGGGTGCAATATGGATTCCTTGGGATTTAGGATTCATGAAAATCTGGAACTGGAATTTCAAAGGTTCCATGATCCACCGTCTGACAAAATCTTATACTGCAAACTCATTTAAAAGTGGATCAAAACTGGAGAGGATACTTTTTAGATCTTTTTAGTAGGTGCCAAGGGTTCAGATCGTCTGCACTCTGCCGGGAACCCCCCAGCCCCTCGTCATACTCTCTGGCTACTACTGCATTTTCCTTCACTGTCGCAGCGTGATATATTCCAGTCTGTTACTTTAGTACAATGTGGTGCCCCAGTTCGTTAGCTAAGTTGGTGAACATAACTTCAATAACTATGGTTTATGATTTATGCTACATATATCGAACTAGTATTCATGGGCTTTATCAACCAATGTTCACATCACTGGGGGGCACCACCATACGTATGGTTTCATGTGTACATTACATAGCCTCCATAACCATGGCTGGTTGACTCCCCATTTCCGAAAGGAATCACATATGAATATAACACCCTTTTGAAACCGCGATTTAGTATTTGATCTATTGAATAGAATTCATTTGGGGGGCGAAAATCAGTGAATATTTACTCAAAGATGTCCCAATATTCCCCAACATTTCCAAGTAATTCCCAATATTTCCAAACACATGCCTGAAATTCCCCATCACAAATTTGATAAAAACCCATCAAAAATCTGAAATCCCCCATCACATCCCTGATGTTCCAAGTAATATCGTCCAATATTTGTCCAAAAAAACCAACACAATAATGTTTCCGATCTTAAAGTCATTCCATGTCCATCCCTCTGCAGTTATGGCATACTTGTAAGTGGCTAAAAACTAAGAACATCTTATAACCCAATTAAAGTGATATATATATATATAACCATAGTTGCAAAAAATGTGAAACCATTTATACCATCCTGTATATACATATATATGTATTTTCAAAACCCAAAAAAATGCGAAATAATTTTCATAGGAAAACCATGAGTGTTCCACATTTTTATGTATGTTTACCCCAGACTCACTGCTAAGGCCAGCCCTTTGCTGTGGTACTGTCCTCCTCTCAAATCCGGGCGACCCTCTGGAGAAATTTTTCCCAAAAATCCTGGAGTTCGGCGACCTCGCTACGGAAAACAGTTTGGAGTCATCATTGAAGACCATATGCATGTATATATGTAGGTGTATACATATTACAATATAGTATATATAATATATATAGAAAAAACAAAAAACATTGTCTGTATATATACATATACAAATAATAAACACAAATTTATTTATATGTACAATATGGAGGTACATGCATGCTTAAACATGTTTACATCATGTAATATAATATAATATAATATAATGCCATGCACAAATTTAGAAACTACTGTTGTTTCTGATTTGAAACATGCATGCCAAAGAACCATTCATTGAAATCAGAAAACATCACAGGGAGGTTCCTGGCGTTGTCTGAACGTTCAAAAACATAAAATTTTGCAAGTTGATTACGGTCATAGCGAAAATGGTGTAAAAAATTCGTTTGTAGATACAATTAAGACATCACTATGGTTGATGACCCGCCAACTGTTCAAAACCTCGTGCGACCAAGTTCAACTGTTTTTTCTTTCTAGACAAACCCATATCAGCCGGATGCTTTCCGAGACGAAACGCCAAGGCTGGTAGATGGAATTTTGCAGTCTCGAAAAAACAAGATGTGAACAGTTTCAACCACCCTCGTTCATTGGTTGTTTGATGGTGATTTAATGGTCGTTTGCTGAAGCGCTGTCACTCAAAACTATAGGGATATAATTAATACATGATGGTTGGTTGGTGATGACAGTGGGGTTCCAATATACTGAGGGTTATCATGACCGATTTGAACATCCGCATTAACCAACCGTCAAAGGGGATTTTGCAAAAGGACCTTAAGTTAAACAATCCAGTCATAAGAGCAGCATTGTGTACCATAGTGAGACGCGTTTGTGCTGGATAGTTTGTGGGGGGGTGTAATGACCTTGCACACTATTATGACCTAGTTTCTGACATATTATATGAAAATATATATGGCATATGCGGCATATATATATAATTATATATATATATATACGGACATTCTTTGTGGCATTAACTCTGACATTCTATCTGACATTCTTTGTGGCACCTATTCGGACATTCTTTCTGGCCTTCTATCTGGCATCTATTCAGGCACTCATTCTGGCAATCATTCCGGCACTCATTCTGGAATCTATTCTGATATTCTATCTGGCATTCTGTCTGGCATTTTATCTGGCATCTATCCTGACATTCTCTCGGACATGTGCACTGCCGGACCTCAGCCGCGAGCGCCAGTCCAGCAGTGAGGAGCTCCGGGTTGAAACCCGGCAGCTGCGTTGAGGTCCGGCAGTGCCCACTGTGATCTGGAGTTCGCTATTGGGGGAAGGGGGGAAGGAGGGAGGGAAGAAGGGAAGAAGGGAAGGAGGAAAGCAACACTGATAAAATCTAAAGACCCTCACCTGGCTGGCGGGGGGTAAAAATACGCTGGCAAGAGAACCAAACAGTGTGGCGGGTGGGAAGTCAGTGTACCAGATACACGCAACAGTAGGTATGGAACGGAAATAGGTGAGGTTAGACATGGTCGCAACTGCAGCAGCAAGACCTTATGGATCTATAAAGAGGAGCTCACAAGATCTTCATACAAGAACTTCCTTTGAGCCCCAGAAGAACTGTCATACGAACACAAATGCAAAGGATCTTCAATATCTTGATGCAAGGACCTCTTGAGGATGTCAACAGGATCTCCACAAGAACCTGCACGAGATAATGTAAGGACACCTAGAGGATGTCATTAGGACCTCTTCAAGAGCTTCTCATAAGGACCTGTACAAGATCATGCAAAGGCCTCTGACAGCATTTTAGTACAATCTCGACAAGAGCTTCTCGCTGGGAATTGTAAAAGACCTTGAGCAAGATCTTCATGCCAGGACCCTTAAGGGAATCTCACAAGATCGTCAAAAAGGACCTGCTGGAAAATGCCGCAGGCCCAGAGCTTGAGAACCCCGGGGCGCAGACTTTGCGCGAGCCTGTGCAATCGAAATGCACATGGACATCTCAGAAGAGCCATTTTACACGAAAATTTACAGGAAAATGCCGCGCCCCAGAAGTTAGGCGCACGGTTTGTGGGAGCCTGCGCAGTCGAAATGCACACGGACATGTCACAAGAGCAATTTTAACGGAGAATTTACTGGAAAAATGCCGGAAGCCAGATGGAGCACCCTGATCAAGCACCGGCCTTAACTCCTACCCGAAGAAACCCTCAGTGTGGACACACTGTTTGGGGAACAATGGAAAATAGAGTATAATCCCACAACACACCACTATCATTGATTATTTTGAACATTGCTCGTCAACAAGAGAACCCACATGTTTGTTACCCGCTTTCAACACATTGAGCAAAGAAAGCTTGGAAGGCGTTCGGAAGGCGTTCCCCAGTTATGGCGAACCTGAGACACGCCCAAAAAAAAAATGGTGACAATTGATGTAACATGTATCAGTGTCATTATATTCGTACAGTTTCATGTATATTTATACATACATCATGATATATATATATATATATACCTCATCTAAAACTATGATTGGTTTGGCTAAGGGTTGCCCCACCACCAATATTTTTGCCCAAAGTGTAGCACTTGGCCAAGCTGCCCAAGCACTGGGTAGTGCCAACCTGAGATGCGGTGTGTATCAATCACTAAGCTGAGCAGATCCTAATGGGCTGGGTCTTCAAAATGGCTTTGTCAAAAAACTGGTAGAGAGGCGAATTACAAATACCTTCTGTCCCTTTCATTTCATAATATTTCATAGATATCCCCCCATTCTTCAAGTGAAGCACATCCAAAAACTGCAGAGTCGGAACGGTTCGATCTCATCAATCTGGATCTCGAAATATTTCTGGCAGGCCTGATCAAAAAAAAACGAAATAGCCGAGCAAAATTCAGTTCTGTGGCAGTGTCAAAAAAGAGGGATAAGCACAATTTTGTAGCCATCTATGCATGGGGAATTAAACACACCTAAGATATTGGATATACGGCAAGTATTCATCTAAATAAACAATTCTTCAATATACAAACTGGTATTCTAGTCTACCTCCGGGAAGGTTTTCCTTGGCCCGCCCGGCCATTTAAACATATGGAATCCGATGTATTTAAAAGACATCTAAAATCGTTTTTTAGATATACGGATGGAATTGGTGTTTCATGCTTCCTCTGGAGCCTTGTCGTCTGGCCCGCCCTCTATATATTTACTGTACATGTCGTTACCGTAGTATAACGCATAACTCATCAACCAATTATCATTAAGTATATCACCATGTGGAAGTTGGGTAAACCATAAAAGTACAAATGATGGCTAAGTCTCGTGGAATAACTCATCAACATTAACCACAATGTGAGGCCCCCAAGATAGCTAAGTTGGTTTATAACTCCAATAACTATGGTTTATGGTACTTATAACTATAGTTACTGGGGCTTATAAACCAACTTGTAACTGGGGGGCCCCACATTAACCAACAGTCAAAAAAATCAGACGCCCCTGGCCGGTGATCGGCGAATCTTCACCATCGTAGCATCGAGGTCACGGTCTTCTTTGAGTGACTTGAAAAAATGATGGTCATCTGCAAGGACAAAATATCCCATATGCTCCATGTATGGTATATTTACCTACATTTGGGTCATTTATGGGGCAAATATTGCTTACATGGAGCATATGGGTATAAGTGGCTGAATTCTATGGTTTATGGTAGATATAACTGCTAATGGGGATCATAATGTCATAATGGTTTATAAACAAACTTAATACTAAGGGGGGCCCATCCTGTGGGAAACTCCGATTTTCCGACCAAGCCGTATCTTTTTGCACTTCTGGATGAACCACAACCAAAGTCTCCTCCCAGGTCCCAATAGGTCCCGTCCCGGGCCACACCTCAATCAGGGCATCCTGCGCCTCAAACGACACCCTTGGGTCCTCGACCTCTTCATCCACAGCTTCATCCTGACCGAATGCCGACGGCACAGGGCAAGCATTTTAGAGTTCAAAGCTTTGGGGTAGCCCCCCAGAAAGATAGAACATTGAAGTATAGGGAATTCAGCATATCAGGGAGCTAGTGTCCAACACGCATGATTCATGAATCTTGAATTAAAAAATATCAAATACCCGCCAAAACACTCCAGGGATGCCCCACTGAAAGCCACTGAAAGACAATGAAAAACAATCCAAGAGAAATTCATTGCACCCAATGTACACGCACACACAATTGCAGCCTCTCTCAGCCTCTCTGTCTGTCTGTCTCTCTCTCTCTCTCACTAGTTATATATATATAACATATATATATATATATAACATACGTGTATATATATATATACATACACATATGTACATATGTATATATATATATGTATATGTATATATATATATATGTATATATGTGCATATTTACACATAAACCATGTATATGTAAATAACATATTTATATATATGGCACACATATATATGTATATGCAAATATAATACAAATAAATATACAACATATAAATAATGTGTATATGGATAAAACATTTATAAATATACATCATATATATATATGTATAAATAACACATATATGTATATTATAACGCAAATAAATATACAATACATACAAAAAAGGTATATATGTATAAAAACACATTAAAAAAACAAAACGTGTATATATATATATATATATATCAAATATATACAACATGTATATATATATATATATATTACAAATAAACATATATCCACGCTAAAACACATCAACACACATATATACTGCATATACACCATGTATACAACATGTGTATATATATACACGTAAAAAATAAGAAAGAATTAAATATAACGCACACATATGTAAATCACGCATACATTGTGTGTCTAACATAAATAAACCATATATATATATATATATTACGTATATGGAGCATAAAAACAACATATAACATATACATATAGAAACCTATTTTCTGTATGTATAAAACAAATATATATATATATACATACATACATACATGGGTATATAAAGTCAAAAACATAAATATGTACATGTCATAGATGTTACATAAAACCTAAATAAATACCCTATATATACCGTACACATGTAACGTATAAAACACATGTATGTATATATATATAGCAGAAAAAATGTGTATATGAACAAAAAACTGTCTATCTATCTATAAATAGCACACACATATATTAACAAATATAAAGCATATACACATGTAACATGTTTAAAACCAACAAATTTACATTATAAATATATATATATATACCTTTAACAGCAAAAAAAAGCATAAATATAAATATATATCAGCATATGAAAACATGTCCAAATATCTATATATATATATATATATACGTATACCCTACTGAAAACAAACATATTATATGTGAAATATATTATATATAAAATATAAAAAACATAGGCTGTATATACATCAAATATATTATAAAATACACAAATACATTTACATATGTATATCACATATTATATATATTTTTGTAAAACATAAACACATAAACACACATGTATAATTTTTTAAAAAAATATATATATATAACATATGTATAAATATGTTACACAACATGCACATAATATGTAAATATGTACCATATATCTATTTACCAAAAGAACAAAAAATATGTATATACATAGCATATATAACACACATATGTATATATATATATATACATTCACCATAAATACAAGATATACATAACTTTTCTGTATATATATATATGGCAAATATACAAACAAGAGTATAAATATCAACAAATATGAAACATAAACAAATATACGTTAGCAACTATATATATATGCTTTATATTTACCATAAGCATATATAAGTATATATGTGAAAATAAATAACATAGCATATGATTACTATTGTGTATAAAAATAAAAAACATGTATTCTTGTTTGTTCTAAGCATGTTATATAAATATAATTTTGACACAAGCACATATATATATATATGTAACATTTAAAAAAAAAAACATCAAAAAGTAGCATAGCATTTCTAGTATATATATAATATGTAATTCCCACATATATATATACATATAACACATTGATATATATAAATATATGTATATGTGTATATATATATGTATATAAATATATGTACCAAATATGTAAATGTATAGCATATATACATATATGCCATATGTATATAACATATACCTAATATGTATGTATATATATATCTATCTGAATACAAAATATGTAAATATAAACCGTATATAAACCGTATATAAACCATAGATTCATATTGTGTATATATATATATATGTTATATATAGATATATAACAACTTTTTTTTAAAAAAAAATGTAACATGTGTAGTGTATAAATACCATAACATTTCATTATATACTATTTTTGTTATATATAGTATACACCCATAGATCTTGGCTGATTTGATGCCCTATGGAAACATGTCCTCGTTCGAGGGCCACGCTTCTGGCTCGCTACCTCATTTCGGGCCACGATCGGATTCCACGGCCCTGGTGGTTTTTTGCCACCGGGATCCTGAGGGAAAATGTATTCCGCAAAGTCATCGAAAAAAAAGAATCTTTACCATCTGCTTATGACTAACATAGCCATGGAAAATCACCATTTTTAAGTTCGGTAAACCATCTATTTCTATGGGCCATCTATACCATGGCTATGTTAGTCATAACCAGAGGGTAAATTAGGAAAATCATCATCCCAAGCTCTACCAAGTAGGAAGCTATATGATATTTTTGATCCAAGCACAAGAGACTTATGATATCATTGAGTGGGTCAGCTCAATATATGCATATATATATATATCATTTAATCACGTTTAATCTACCAGAAGAGTGTGTCATATGGGCCCATGAAACTTTAGCATGAATACGATGATATATCATAGCACGAAGATATCCAAGGATTACCCAATATCCTAAGGAAAAGAAGGACAACAGCTGGTTTCTTAGTGGAAGAGTGAAGATGTCATTGGCTGGTGGTTTCAGCATGTTTCAGCGCTTTCGGAAAGGTTGTGGGTTGAGCGGAAGCATCATCACAGATTTGGTTAGATGGACAATGAACAGAAACATCATTAAATAATGTTGGGCCTGTGCCTTTCAACCTTTTTGCAACCTATAAATAAAGCCTTCCAATTCCCCTTTCTGACCCACCACAGGCTTAGCAAAGACACTGAAATTCTCAGCAGCCTCGATATCTGCAGACTGGTTCTCCAGCACAGACCAATCGATCTCACTTCCCGCATCCATTGGTCCATTGGTCCATGCCCAGTGGATCAGCAGCGTTTAACGCGCAGAACGGTTGAGAGAAGAAAGAGCAACAGTACATTGTGGAATTCTATCATATTCATCCATATTCTACATCTATGACCCAAATATGATAAACTTATGTAATCTAATGTGTATAGTTTGCAGTACCAGTAGTACCGCACAAGGCGGTGGCGGAAACCTATGAGAGGTTGGTTGTTGTGAATCACGGATGGCAGAGCGAACCCACTGATGGACTGAAAGGTGGTTGAGGTCTCCTCTCTTTCTCTCTCTCTTCCTCTCTCTTTCTCTCTCTTTCTCTCTCTCTTTCTCTCACTTTCTCTCCCTTTCTCTGATTATCTACCAACCTACCTGCCGATCTATCAATGTTTGAAGTTGACAACGTCAAAAACGAAGCAATTCTGCGAGACATCCTCAATTTCTGAACTTGACAACGTCAGAAACGAAGCAATTCTGCGACACTTCCACATTTTTCCAAGTTGACAACATCAAAAACGAAGCAATTCTGCGAGACTTCGTTCAAAAATGGAAAGTTGAGTGCAGAGCTGACGGCCTCGTACCAATGAGTTTTGCGATTTTTCCAGTCCACCTGTCTAAACTACTGCACCTGCCACGAAAAAGTGATGCCAGGTCATACGAATTGCTGCACCTGTCACGCAAAATCATCTCAGCAAACCTAAAGTCTCATGCTCCAAAATGCAACCTCTCTCAGGAAATCAGCGCCCGGACCTCCTAACAGCTCTGATGAAGATGTCTCTTGTATTGCACCTGCCACGGAAAATGCATCTTTGCAGATCCTCTTCAAATGTCCCACCCCTGCCATCGTTTGTGGAAATGCGACAGAACCCTCACGTTTTGCTCACTTTTGACAAGGTGCACAATCCCTTGCGCCTGCCACGCGAAACGACATCTGAACCTCCAAAAGTGGCGCGAACATGTGGTTTTGTGCATTTTGACCTCGAAATGTGCTTCGCGCCACAACGGCGTGCACTTTTTCGATATCGCAACTTCCAAAAGTGGCCCGGACCTGGTGTGTTTTGTACATTTTGACTTCGAAATGTGCTTCGCGCCACAACGGCGTGCACTTTTTCGACATCTCTTAGCTTTTTCACTTGCAAATGTGCTTCGCGCCACAACGGCGTGCACTTTTTCATCTCTCATCTGGCCAGATGGCTCCGCACCCGTTTTAGCGAGCCTACTTTTCGACCCTCCGGAGCCACAATCATTGGAAAAACACAGTGTTTCGCGACTTTCCTACCTGTTCGCGCATCTGAGCTTCTTTCTTCTGACTCTTTCTCTTCTCTGATCTTCTCTCTTCTACTCTTCTCCTCTCTCTGTCTCTTCCCGTCTCTGCTTTTCATCTGTCCATAATGTCGGAAGTTTGACTTCTAAACTTCCTTCGAATATACATCTTCACTGGCACCTGGTGCCTAGCGAAAGAGCTTTCGCTGTTTCGCTCCAAGAACTTACCAATCCCGACTTGGAGGTGCCAGGAATCGTAAGTGGCTTACGACTGTCATCGCCAGAACCCATATGCTCCATGTATGGTATATTTACCTACATTTGGGTGATTTCTAGGGCAAATGTTGGTAAATATTCCATAAATGGAGCATATGGGTAATGATATACTCCAGCTATAGATGGCTTTGAATGATAGCATCAATATGATCGCCGTATATATATAGGTGTAAATCGTTGGCAATTAACTCATCTCAACAAGGCATTGTTTTTCATAGTTCTCCCATCATTCCAGTGACGGAAAATAGAGATGTCATAATAATGTTCATTCATAAATCATATGTAAATCATCATAAAAATATCATATAAATCATATATATATATATGTATGTAAATCATCATAAATCATCGAACTAAATGGATCTAAATGGGCCATGGCTTCCATAGTTATGTGAAATAAGCAAAAGGTATATGGCCTAGATTCATGGCTTGTACACTCTGGCTATTTAACACAGCTATGGAAGCCATGGCCCGTTTAGTTCGATGAAAAAAAATATGATTGACCTATCAAAAATAGTGATCTTTTTTTCTTCCAGTTCCCTACGTTAAATGACCAGAGGTATATGTCTGGGTAAATTATTATATATAGTAGTTCAAGGACCTGAAATGAGGATATTTCATGATATTTCCCTATTCCAGTGAGGTCACAGTGAGGTCACAGTGAGGTCGCAATGATGCCTGGGTCATCCTGGGTCCTTTTCTCTGGGTCATGTGTCTGAGCCAGCTACGGAGTTACGAAGATGACCCAAATGGCTGAGGATTGAAACATGTTGAAACAATGGGATTTTGGGGAGACCCCTTTTTTTAATCAACCCCCAACGATGACTTACTTCTTGCTGTTGAAGCGAATGGATTGACAAAAGGAATCGGCGCATCTGAATATCAGAATTAAATCCAGGAACAAATGGGATTGACAAAAGGACCCTTGCCCCTAAAAGAAAATGGAATTGGATAGTACGATCATCTCAAGTAGGTTTTGCATAGAAAAAGCCCTTTAAAAATACCATCTTGTTATTGAACGTAGCCATGGAAAAACACCATTTTTAATAGGTAGATCATCATGAATCATCCATAAATGGGCCATTGTCCATAGCTATGTTATAACCAAACGGTACTCCATTTTTTGGGGGGGGAGTATTCCACTCAACGCCCAGCTGTGCCGAAGCCGCGATCGAGCTTCGCACGCAAAGGCCCAGCAACTTTTGCTCAAAAACCTTGGAGTTGCTCTCCACAGGCTTTGAACAATTCCCCCAAAGGATCCTACTTGCACTATATATTGACATCGAGAAAAACTTTAAACTTGTTCCGTTAGGGAAATCAACTGGCTGGATTGGATTCAAGGATATTCAAGTTTTTTTCTTCAGATCTTCCGAACTTCCATGAATTTCCCCATTTGGATTCCCACCTCAATGAGTGTTCTGGGAAGAACATCAGAAACAGCCACTCAACGAATCCAGGGCACCTTGGCGGGCACGGATAGCCGGCCTTGTCCGTCCAATCGCCTGAGGTCGACTGGGCGACGCAACTGGGGCAGTGGAGGTTTCCATAACTGGTACCCCAAGCGAGCACTGGATGGCTTAGTTCATGGGAAATCCTATGAACATGATTGAAAATGGATGATTTAGGAGGTACCCCGATTTTAGGAAACCTCCAATTCAATGATTGAGGTACATTATTTATATATATATATATAAGTATGAGCCGGATCAACAAAAATCCAGAATCTGCATCTCTTGAAACCATGGTGCTCCAGTCTGTCAAAATCTGAAATCGATAAAAGGAACTTGATCCTGCTGTTCTTGTAAGAAATAACTTCAGTCTGTCAATGCTATGGTCGTCACTCCTCTAGAATGTCACTTCTGTGGCAGTCTTTCTTCATCAATAATGTCCTTTTGGTAAAAATAGAGGTGCCGGTTTGGTATACCATCTATCATCATGGACCTGTTGTTAAAGGGGTTTCTTCAAACCCCTCTATTAATCAACCAACCAATGGGAATTTGGGACATCTATGTTCTTCATTCCCTGACAGTCTACTGGCTTCTCAGCCACGAAACTACCATATTAATCCAGGAATTCGGACCCACAGTTCTGGCATTTTACCAGTTATAAGTCGGCAAGTCACCCCATTTCTGGAATGATAAGTCCATTTATTCGCCTTATCACTGGTATCAAATAAATGGAACTGATCATTATGATCATTTTTCACCAGACTTATATCAAATAAATGGTTATTAGCAACTAAGACTGGTAAAGGCCTTTGGCTGCATCACCAAGGCAGGGAAATCTCAGCTTTCCGCCTGATCTCGCCTTGAGCTTCGCCCAGCCACAAGGAGTCGCTGGTGCCACAGGCGCTGTGCACCTTGGGGCCGGGGCATCATGATTTTGGATCGCCGGTTTTTTCGCCATGTTTTTCTTCCCCACTTTTGATCATTTCTGGTTGGTGGTTGACCTACCCCTCTGAAAAATATGAAAGTCAATGGGAAGGATGACATCCCATATATGAAATGGAAAATGAAAAAAATGTTTGAAACCACCAACCAGATGATTTAACAGTGGCTATGGAAATTGGCGCACTTATAAATCATGGATTTCTTCGATGATTTACCGAAAGTGGTTTTATGTCCCATAGCCATGTTTACCCTCTGGTAAACATACAAAAAACTATGGAAAATCACTACGTATATTTAATGGGTAAATTCACTATTTCTATGGCTATTTTGTTTACCAGAGGGTAATTACCATACCCGGTAGTTGTTAATGCCAAGCGCGTAGTTCTTCACAAACTTCCTCTGAACTGATGGGCCAGAACACTGAAAAACACCGAAAAACACCGACCAGAAGAGATCTGAAGATAGACGTACTGAACATCTAACACATGACCATGGACCATGATCATTGATGTCATGTGCATATAACTGTATATACAATATAATATAGAATAAAATATAATATAATATAATATAATATATATATATATACATACCTAGATGTTCCTGAGGGTCTCGTTTTTTGCCCCTTAGCCCAAATCTGCCTTTTTATCTATAGGCGTTTCTTGACTTTTGGAGCGTTCTATCATCACAAATGTCTTGTAGTAGGTTTGACGCCAGTTTCCTATTAAAGTTCGAAGATGTTTCAGGGGCAAGGCTGAATAATTCACAAATCACAGAACCCTTGTTGCCGGGTAAAGCTGTGCTCATGGGCTGCTACTGCATGCCCAGAGTATGCATCATATGTAAGACGATATTACCCTCTGGTAAACTAACATAGCTATTGAAAATGGCCATTTATAGCTGATTTACCCATTAAACATGGTGATTTTCCATAGTTTTGTTGTATGTTTACCAGAGGGTATAAGATACTCTCGTGTGACACGTTTTTCCTGGCACGACACGGTTGGCTTGATAGGCTTACCATCAACTGCGACGGCGAATAACAATTTTGTGGCATGATCAGTTCCTGACAAAACCAGGGATCATCCAATTACTGGTTTCATTTTGGCCAAAATCCTACGCTTTTAAGAGG